CCTTTGGGATTAGACTATCCTGTTATTCGGAACGCTGACTCCGGGCTACATCGCCGCCTCAGCCTCACAGCAGTACATCAATGAAATATTCTGGCTATCACTTCGGGCAGAAAAATGCAACCTTCTACGCCTCTTGAATGCTCGGGGACACTGTTGCACAGTAGCTTCAAGCATAAGACGCGAAACCCTACTCTCCAAAACCCTCCATCTAAAGAAAAGAGCCCACCTGCCATGCTTTGGATCTGCATCTTCGAAGGCTGAATCCTCAGTGCATGAGGGACGATTAACCTTGCTGAGATCCAAAGTACAATTCTTTGGGAAAAGCAGTAAACATCAAGCACATAATCGAATGTCTGCATCATAGAGCAGAGTGGTGATGCTTAAGTGGGGGGTTTGATGCTGTAAGGCTTATCGGCTTAGAGGCTATCAGAAACATTGTTGCAGAAGCGCATTGAACATACGGAACTTTTGTTGGAACAGCAAGCTCTGGGGTTGATGATGCGATACTTTTCTATCTGCCTGGTTGTGCATGTGTGCTCATACATGTGTACACATACATGACATATATTGACATATATATATATATATATATATCATGTACTGTCAGAAACATATACATACGTATGTGTATACATAGAGATCTACATAGGCACGATACACATACAAAACATATATATATATATATATATACATATACACGCAGACGCGTACACACACACACACACACTGACGACTGAGGTTCATGTGCGAGCACTATGGAGGCCGAAGCTCCGCCAAGCACGATGTAAGGCTTGCTTGACTTGGCTTATGACGTCGGTGCTGCGCATCTTCTGCTTCCACTGTAAGTGGTGGTCCTGGTCGTTGCACTGGCAGGTAAGCATGATGGTCCAAGCATGGGCCCCGCGATCACAAAAGGAGTACACGGCCGGCGGTGCTGTAACAACCAAGGACTGGTCATCTTGAACAACGCCCCGGCTGCATGCCACAAAATTCTGGCAGTCAGATCCCACAATTCTGGACACCTCTCTCTTCAGCTCGTCCACTGTCATGCTTGCTGCCGCTGCCACTGCGGCCTCTCGAAAGCCGCTCGCTGCAGGTACCAGAACAAGGACTCGACCATCCTCCTGGCTGCCTTGGCAGCCTTCTTCTGCGCGTTGGCCCTTCGCATCTTTCAAGTAGAGCCACTCCCCTCGGCAGCATGGACACTGCAGGACCTTGCCATCCGCGGCAAAAGACTTCAAGAGGCAATCTGCATGAAAGAAATGTTGGCAAAGGCGGTTGCCAACGACGAAGTCCGGGACTTCACGCTCGGAGCTGTCGACACAGTCGCCCAAGCCGGAGAGGCAAATCGAGCAAATGTCAGCCTCGCCAAGCTATTCGCTTGCTCTTGTGTACTACTGTCTGCTGCTGCAATCTTGTGATGTACTTCATGGTACAAATTCTCTGTACGAGTTCACATTGTGCCATGGAGAAGCACGCTGCGGCCTTGGCAAGCTCAGCTGCCCAGCGCTGCGGATGCATCGGCTGTGAAAAGGCCGCAGCATCAATTTTCATGGCTGCCTTGGGTGCCCCAGCTGTTACAGGGAACTACATCCAAAAGAGGAGACCAGCATGTGGCGGGACAGCTTTTGACTCGCACAGACGCACGTGGCCGCTCTGCAACGTTAGCCTTCTGACGTACTGCAACAACACCCATGCTGGGTTGCGCTTTGGGCCCCTGGCATCGTAGCCCCAGAGCTTGACGCGACTTCCAACCTGACATGGGAAAAGGGGACGTCTAGAAGTTTAGAACACGAAAAGATGTTAGTTTCGACTCGGACCGTCACCGGACCTCGGAGCAGAGGCAGCGGCCGTGGTCTTCTGAAGCGGAGGATGCAAGCGCGACTTCCTCCTCAGCTGGCTCATACTCGATGCCCTCAGCGTGGGCGATCTGCTTTGCCAGCTCCCAGGTGCTCGTCGTGGCAGATACCTCAGCTTGAAAAGGAAAGAAACACCCCCACACTCACTCGCCCGCTTTGAGTCATGGAACCTCCACAACTTGCGGCGGCAAGCCTTGTGCCAGCCTCTCCAGAGTCTGGTACCGTATGCTTGCAGCATCTCCCGTTTCGAACTCTGCTGGCTCTACCTCTGCCCCAGATCCATCGGTGGTTTCGCCTGTGTCGAACGCTGGTCCTGCTGTAGCCTCATGCTCTTTTTCTGGGGCAGACACTGCCTTCACACCTGCAGGGCTCAGCAGACACGCTACCTCGGCGAGAACTGCATCTCCGTTTTCCAGCACATCTGATACCACGTCCTCATCATCTATCAGAGCGTGTGCTCTTGATCCCTCCCGCAAGCAAATCACCCGGCAGCCATCGAAAGCTGCCAGTTTTTGCGCGCGACGCGCGATCTCTACCTTGAAGTCGTGTACCCTCTTCGTTGGCTCCGTTGGAACCAGGATGGTCTCCGCCTCCTGGCCACCCTGGCCCTCCTTTCTCAATCTGACATGGAGGCGTAACATCACGTCAACAGCACTGGCAGTTTCCACGTACTAACTGCACCTATAGGAGGAGCCAAAATTGCAAGGTGTGCATACATAGACTGCCCCCATGTGTGCAGATCATGAGCAGGCGGCTTAGTCCCACACTGTATATTCATTGTCATAGATACACATATATTGCAAACATATACGGACAAACCGACAAACTACATACGCCAGATGGTGTAAGAGCAGGCACGTCCGAGCTGCAAGCGCCTTGTGCTCAACGGCTCTGCAACGAAGCAAAATCATCCTTCCTCCGCTCAAGGAATGCTGCAAAACTGAATTCAGTTTGTTACAGGGGGTGAAATTGTGAGGGACTGTTGCACCTTCAACAAGGATTGGAGGAAAGCAAACAGTCTTCTGCATGCCTTGCTAACTCGCCCATACTCATTAAGTACCCCTTGATGAAGCTAGCTCGTGCCCCGCAGCCCTACGTGAGTGGGACGTCGTCGATGCAAGCAAGCCAATGACACCCATGTTGTGCTGTGCTCGTACTTTCTCTGCATGTACACTATAATATGTACTCATTGACCTAATCTGCAGGTTTCCTGGCAGTGTAGCTACAATTAACAGACGAACCTGTCCGTGTTGCTTCTCCAAGAAACTCGGACCATGCCTGCGGTGCTCGCGAGGATTGATGGCTTTGGCTCGGAGAAATAATTAATCGATTGCACTACGATAGTCCGTCCAAAAGACTCGCTTTGTTTAGGACTTTGCAAGAAAAAGCTGGTCTATGAGCTGGGGTCCATGAATGACGTTGGGCTTCTTTCTAACTTCCACGCAGTGATCGTTGGACTTGGTTCTTCCACGTGACTGTCCTGGTCTGCAATTGGGGATTGTTGCAGCGATGCCATACATTAGACGGCAGGAAACACTCGCGTCGATTTTACGCCACGTCTCACGAGCCATCGCATGTGCTGGGTTTCTCCCCAAAGCAAACTGCTCCTGCAAGCAGACGATCCGGGAAAACGACGACCTTTCGAGCAACCGCCCCACTGAGTCACTCTGGCACAAACGAATCACTTCGAGATCCTGGATCCCAAAATGTCTGGCATGCCTGCTGTTGCGCTCTAATGAAAGGAGAGACAAAGCAGAAGCAGCCAGCAGCCAAGAAGAAGCAGAAAAAGGAAGAAGCAGCCGCAGAGGAGAAGAAGAGTCAAGAAGAGGAAGAAGCAGCAGTCGCAGCAGCCAAAGTAGAAAAGGAAGGAAAGGAAGAGGAGAAGGAAGCAAGGAAGACTTGCACAGGAATTCGAAAAGCAGAGGATCGGCAGCCGGCGCCCACGAAAGGAGAAGCAGACACCAGCACAGGAACAGAGAGAGGAAGAGAAGAACGCGGAAATCTCAGAAAAAGCACCTGTGAACGAAGCTCTTTTTCAAAAAGGAAAAGATCATGGAGATCTGCAGCTTCGGGAAGCTTAACGACTACCTCAAAGACCGAAAGCAAAAGAAAAGAACCAAAGGACCCAGAAGCCGTGGTCGTCGAAGACGAAGAAGAAGATAATTTTTTACGATTTGCGGCACAAGCTGATTTGGATTTACAAATGTCGAATATCTAGTCGTCCTCTTAGGGACGTTCTATAAATGACTCAGAAAAGAATCAATCCAATATTCTGTGGCATAACATACTCACGACTTTTTCGCTCGAAAGCGTCAAACGGGGTTTCCAAGTGCATGCCGCACGCACAATGTGGCACACCGCCACAAGAAAGAAGCACTTCGCTTCGAGAGCACTCCGCTCGCCCCAGGGTTGGGTGGGTGGGAAAAGAAATTTCGCAGTCTTGAGCTCTAACTCCGAGCCAAGACTTTGCAGCATAACCTTGTTCAAATCTCGTGCGGCATGTGAAACGTGAAACATATTTCAAGTAGTTGAAAATCCAAAATCAGCAGTTTTTCTGTACTTCCAGAAAAACCAAAAGCGCCTACAAATCGTAAAGCGATATCATGCAAGCATGAGTTGAAGCTTACGATTTGCGGCACAAGCCGATTTGGATTTACAAATGTCGAATATCTAGTCGTCCTCTTAGGGACGTTCTATAAATGACTCAGAAAAGAATCAATCCAATATTCTGTGGCATAACATACTCACGACTTTTTCGCTCGAAAGCGTCAAACGGGGTTTCCAAGTGCATGCCGCACGCACAATGTGGCACACCGCCACAAGAAAGAAGCACTTCGCTTCGAGAGCACTCCGCTCGCCCCGCTTGACCTGAGTGCTCTTAGACGAAGCGCTGAAGCACTGTACCCGTCAGAGGACAACAAGGATCATCGATCGCGCACTCCGGGAAGGCTCTCAAAAGGCCCTCCCATCGACCTCTTGATGGTCCATCAGAGATATTAGAGTGCGAAGGAACACGACTGAACCATTGCAAGGCAGGCAGTGAATCAGCTTTCTCGAGTGCACACAAGAGCTTTCTCCAGGTATCTTCTTTGGAGGATCCGCTTATGCAAGCTGCAAGCACCCCGCTGTGATCGACGAAATAAATGACCCTGGCACCGTCCAGGACGTTCGCCCAGCACGATCTGGCAATGATGACAGCGAACATCTCAACCTGTCCTATGAGGTGTCGCTTGCCCTTGGCATGCCAAGCTTCAAGCAACGTCTTCGGAACAAGCGAGCCAAAGGCCCTTACCTTCAAGCCTCCACTAAGCGAGGGAGCGAACATCACCCCCCCCACACCGGCGGGGTTTGCAGCATCCGGCTCAAAGCAGCCGTCAGTGAAGATCACGATAGGACTAGTCGCAGCTGAAGCTGAAACAGTTCTCGGAGCTCCGGACACAACGCGTTCCTTCAAGAGCAACAAGGCTTCAAGATGCTGAGCTGTGAGGTTGACACGCGCAGCAGAACACCTCTCAAGACTTCTGAGATCATGAATCGCCAACCTGCCCATTCTGCCAAGGATCTGTGCCTCGGCGAACTGAAGTCTGCCGAACAAAGAAGGCAACTCGCGAGGTGCGACGTGCCCTCTGGTGATAATCTCCTCAATGGCAGCGGCGATGGCCTGCGACCTCGATGGTTTGTTGCACACAGACACGCCCGACATATCTTCCGCCGACGTGTCTATGACAACTCCCAAAGTTTCCGAGCGCGTCGAAAAAGGCTTATCCTTATCATCAGCAATCCTAAACCCCAAAAGGCGCATCACTGAAGTAAAGGCTGCAGCCGTGCTGTTGCCAAGGAGGCTCGGCGTCACTACTGGATAGTCATCATAATAAAGCGCCGTCAAGATCTCCATCTCAAGCATAATCCTTCTCAGCAGAGCCGAAACTCTGTTGAAGTGAAGAACAGATCCACAGGCTCCGAAAGGAAGAGTGTTGCATATGTAGCCGGACGGCTCGGTCTGTGAAGGATGTCGAATGGTCACAATCGCCTTACTTTGTTCCTCCGGTGCGAGCGGAAGTTGTTTGTAAGCAGATTTAAGATCAAACGTTGTAGTGACAGGCCTGATCTTCTCCTTGTCGGTCCAGTGGTCATGCAGCTTGCCTTTCAAGGTTTCGCCCGAGCTCAGATGCAAAGTGACATCGCCCCTAGCAGAGGCAGCCTGCATTATCTTGGTGCAAATCCAGACCACCTCGTCCAGAGCCCTAAGGGGAATCTTCTCATGGCAGCCAAAAGTAGCATTGAGTCCCGACTCGCTAAGATCATCGATCGGCCTCCACTTGTTTTGCCATACAGCGAACCTTCGGCACGGCATCCACTGGCCTTCAAAGCGCTCCTGGAGCTCAGAGAAAGACAAAGGACCCTCGAGCCACCCTTTTCCTCCAGAAACACCGGTTTCGCCCAGCGTGATTTCGGCCAACTCCGCATCGTACTCCTGAGCCGGCTGCTCCCTCACCCGTGCCCAAAGCTGATGCTTCAAAACTTCGGCAGCGTCCCAAAATTGCTCCTCCGAAGATAAGGCAGGCTTGTGGTCTGGCTCAAAAACACCCGTAGGATCAGGAACTCCTGACAACTTGAACCCTGCACATAGGTCGCGATGCAGGTGCTTGTCGGGCCAGTCAAGAGATTTTGCAATCTTGTCAAGAAGAAGCAGCTTCTTTCCTTGAAGAACCTTGCGTACCGAGGGATGAAGGGAGGCCTGGAGAGCGGCTTCATCTGAGCGAAGGTCCTTCGCCCACTGGTTCCACTTTTGCAGCAGGAGCAACCTGTTTCGCATGATGCATAAGGGACCTTTCGTCAATGTGTCAAAAAGCACACGAACAAGCTTATCCGGAAGAGCTCTGGCGGCATCAAACGGATGCTGAAGTGCGACAGCCTGATACACAAATTGCACCGGCTCGCGATACACACCGAACACATACTCAGTATGGCGAGGCTTCTGCAAAGAGATGTTGGTCGCTTGCTGCGCGGATTCCTCAGTCGCCCCCCCTTCGGAAGCGGAAGAGCGCAGGAGGCGGGCGTGTTTGGGCACGCCGTTCCACGAATGTGTCAGCTGGTTCTTGGCATCCAAAGGTGGATGGCCCGCACACCGTAAGCGCTGCGTGTATGCAAACTCTGGCACAAGCGGTGGCAGCTTGGACGCCTTCGGCTGGTTTTGCGCCGCAGCGCGCACCTCGGGGAGACTAAGAGGGGAGGGGCCTAAACCCAAGGCAGCAACCTGAGTGGACAAGGCAGCAGCAAAACGATCGCAAAAGAGTTTGGCTGGCACGGCATCGGCTCTGTCAGCCGCGGAAAGCGGGGACAGGTCACACAGGGTGTACACCAAACGAAGATGCTGGATCCTGTGTAGGTCAGACACCAGATACACCGGCGCCTCCGAAATGACCTTGAGCAGGTCGGCGAAGGGAGGCAGCTCCCAAAGCCAGGAAGACATGGGATGCATAAGCGAGAACGGTACCTCAAGTTCACGAGCCCGAAGCAAAAAGGCCCCCAGCTGAATGAAAATGCGGTTGGCAGACTGTAGACGGGCCAGAGCTGAGGAGTCCTGACCTGGCACACCCCACGGGTGGGAAGCACTTCGAAGCGACGATTTTGCACGTGA